CAAATTGCGCCGCGCGCAGTTCGAATCGCACGAATGTACCGTCCCCCGGTTTCCTCAGAAGGGTAGATCATGCATCAATCAATAATGGAGTTGTTTGCTGTTTCCAGTCATTTCTGCTGGTACGTTACAGAAACGAGCTGATGCTTATTTGAGGATATTCATGTTGCTCCTCATCTGGCGAAAGTTGGATTCAGTTTTGCTCATGCGACGAAGTGTGAAGTGGCCATGACTCTCTGGCTGGGTGATGAGCCATCGCGTTTACCACCGTAAGTAGCCGTCTAATATAAACTAACAATTTCTAAACCATTATAAGTACATTGGAGAAAAAAATCATTCTTCTTCTTATTCCATTTTGTAGGACGGCGCTCAGCCACTATTCTGTTTCTGGGTTGGTCTTCGACGGAACAGGTCGCGTACTTATGGTTCTCGAGCGATGTCGCCAGAATCGCCGGTATGACGTTCTTTTTATCTATTCCTGATTTCATAAACCTAGAGTTGGTAAGAGTTTACGACATTGGCTGCATTCATAGTTTACATTAGCTGACCAACGATTTGCGTTTGCGTGGCCTCGCCTCATGGCCGTCGCAGTCATGTCACCGGAATTGATCCATCGCACACATGTGCCGCATGGTGAACGCAAACTTTGAATGCAGCCAAATAGTATTGTAGCGCATTTATTAGCTATAGGGCGCCAGCAAGTCGGATACTTCTTTTATGATTTCTTGCAGACTACTTGCTTTCATTTGTTCTAATTATGCAAGTGAAATTTATGGAATAACTTAAAATCCAAGGCTGTTCGCTTCCGTAAGGGAAATTGTTTCAGCGTATCCTTTTGGAAGTTCCCCGGTGGTGTGCCTGAAACAAATGAGCCTTTGGTAAAGACGGCTGAAAGAAAGGTTCTCGAAGAAACTGGGGTTGCCGCTAAAGGCGAAGCCATCATCTCTCTAAGGTCTGCTCTTTCAAGTTCCTTATTTTTGATGCTTGCTCGTTCACACAAACAAGAACCTAAGAATCGAACCGCCAATTCTTGGTAGGGTTCTTGATCTTCAGGGGTCCCACCATATCGTGCAATCTGAAATGTGAAAAGAAGTCGCAGTATGCAGTTGTGTTCAGACCTTTTCCATCTTCAAGAGATATGTTTGATTGTCTTGCAAAAACAACTTTAAACTAGGTAGCAGTACGGGAGAACACTTCTGGGAGGCGGTAGTTCTTCACGATTTCCTTCGGCGAGTAACAGTACTTCCACTACGGCTGCCGTATCCTCCCGTTAACAATTCAAACCTTTCCCTTCATAGCTCGCGGTCATTTGTGGCGAACGCGACGCGCTTTTTGGGGGGAAAATACCACACCTCACACTTCCTTACTTGAAGTACCAACTCAATTTTTTCGATAATGAATCCTAAGACTTCGATTGACTCCTAACCAATATTCCAGACAGAAAGTTTGCACGAGATATGGCTTATGTGCCTTCTTTTTCGTGTGCCTGATGAAGTACGTCAGAGATGTTAATGTAGGCCGTGTTGAAACGGTCTCTGATGAGATTGTCGACGTGAAATGGTTCACGAGGTCCTGTTATATGATTCAATTTTCTATTTTTTCTAATAATTGTATACCTAGTTCATTCTTAACAACAATACTGGGTTTAGTGTTGGAAAATAAGTGTCAATAGGCGTTTGACCTGAGGAATTTGCTCAAATTTTTCCAGAGACGAGATTAATTCGTTGCCAAGAGATCAGTTATTCGGTCCGGATCGCAACGTTTGGCAGGCGTACCTGGAATCTCTTGAAGACGTTGGGGGAGAGGAGTTGTATGAAGCCACCGACAAAGGCGTCACTTCGAAAATGTTCAACTTCACCTTTTCTTGAGAAGCCTGTTCCAGCGGCCTTTCAGAGAATATGATCAAACAATGTTTGTTTTGATATTTTTTGAAGACGAATCATCCTTCCCTCCTTTCTTCCAAACAATAAGAGGACTTGTAATGTGTATGAGATTCGTGATTTTTTGTAAACTCAAGTTATTCATTCCAGTTTCCCTTCTAGAAACCTAGCTTTCCACCGCCATTGTCTTCATCCCTCTGACTGTGCCTTCCATTTCTGCGAGTATCAAGTTCAGTCTTCGGGCTATGAGATGAGGTCGCACAAGCCTGGGAGTCTTTCCGTTGGTAGGCTAAGGTTGGGGCCAATCAGAGGCAACAACCTCTCTCATGACCTTCTTTAAGTCCTAGACTTATTTTGATTTCCAATGTTTGCCAATAATAGTACTTCTGGTTCTTCTATCTCTTCTTAGTGCTCCAATGGATCATTCAGAGAATTACTAGTCAGGCAGCCGGTTCAGTGTGGGCTTCATAAATTTTGTTCTCATTGTTTCTTCATCTGATTCCTACAGTTTCGGCTAACAAGCAGTTCACAGTACTAACATGTTAAATCAGACTAAGCAGATTTATCGGTTATTCATGTGTACGTTTTTTGTCAGTGGGGAAGAAGCTCGACTCGAAAGAACGGTAATTTTAAATGGGTGGTATAAAAAGGTGGAAAATCCCAGCTATGTTTAACCGTAGCTCTAGCCGTCTCTTCATTCAACGGTAATTCTGAATGGAAGCGAAGTGCGTGGAGCATTCAAAGCAGAATTCCAGTTCGGGCTTTCATTCTTAATTAT